AAAGCGTAGTGAGGAGGGCAATATCAGCTGGAGATGCTTTTATTTTTTAGGGGGCTTTTACTGCTTTATAGCTTTTTTTTTTTTTTTGGAAATTCTTCCGACTGTGCAGGTAAAATTGGTAACAGTGTGAGCAAGCAGACAAGCGTTGCAAGGGCTGAACGATTCTGTAGGCGCAATCAGTAGTTTTGAGAAGAGTAAATACACAAAATCTCCGTGAGGAAGAAACCTGTCTTCAGTTTTCAGATAGGCACTTATGTTTTATCTCACTAAATAATAATAGACCCTGACGATTTTCAATAAATTCCAGTATACAGGAAAGTTAGTTTAAAATTAATAATCATCATCATTTGACCTCTGTCCCGCCCTAGATCTGGTGGTGGTCTGCATGGTGGTGAGCGATGCGTACGTAGTCAGAGGTCCTTCTTGATTTAAACGTGCTGGAAAAAAAGTGCACGTTATTGCTCTAGCTTAAAACACAGTAAACGCAGAAGAGTATTTATGTTCTTGAGGTTATGGTTGTCCTCGGAGTCAAGCAGTCTTTGAGCTTCCCGCTAGTATTTAGATTGTTTATTTACTGTCCTGAAACTGCAGAAAGAAAAGGACAAGTACTGGTCAGATCACCCAAAAATATGGACTTCAATCTCTTAGAGATCATTTTTCCTACGTTTTTGTCTCTAAGGCAGTGAGTTTCCCAATTTTATTCTTTATTGTCTACTGATGCAACTGATTCTTTTTTTGCCCCTAGTATTTTTGCTTTTTTATTAGCAACATCTCGTTAGGGAGTTTCATGCCACTGTGCCTTTAAATTCTGCCCAGATCCCAGCTGCAGCGCAGACCTGAGCAGAGGAGGGGGAAACACCAAAACCCCCCCACCATTTTCCAGACCCAGCCATAAAAAGGGTTTTGCTAAGAGGTGGCTCGATGCCAGATTTGAGGTTATCGGAAGAAAACCCTCAATTTCATCTTGTGAAGCAAAACGCTTCAAAGTAGGATTTGCCGTAGAGGCTTTATGATAAGAAATTAATATGTGCAAATGTATGGTACAATGTACATCTTTTTAAATATTAGATATTCCAAAAGCGTGCCTTTAGGTAACTGGATCTAATTTAAATTGCCTCCTAGTGCTTCTGTCGTTGCAAACAACTGCTCAGTTGAACTAGTGTTCAAAATACGGGACTAACCTACAATGGACGGAGCACCATCAACAGTTTCTCCTTGACAGGTTTAAGACTGAAGTCGAAAAGTCTTCTCCTGATCACCACTGTGCTCGGGAACGGCCAGGCCAGCGTAGCGGCATTCGGCTCCCGCTTCCGAGAACGAAGCGTAACGCCAAGTTAGGAAAACTGCAGTTGAAATCTGTCCTGGATCTGTCTAAAGAGAAACCAGAGTAGCAATATATTGTTGATATCCAGCTGATAAGAAGGTTTGTTAGTTAAAGGAGAACAATCTGAGTGTCACTGAAGGCAGGCATTTCTGCAAACCCCTGTTTGTTTGGGACCTTCATAGGCTGAAGGAGCCCTGCCTCTACTGAGGCTTCCTCTTCGCTCACCAACTTCATTTATAGAAGATGAGATTTTCTTTTAATTTTCTTCTTTGTCCTTTTTGAAAGATAAAAGTTTAGGGTGAAAACAGATCAGAAGGGGATAGTACAGCATCCCCCAGTTGAAACCATAGTTATCCTTCCACGGACAAGAGGCTAGATGACTTGCTGGTGGTGGCAGGCAGACTTCTGTGCTAGATCAACCCAAATCTAGAGGAAAAATGTTTTCCTCCTGAGAGCAGAATTTCCTGTCTGTGAGCATGCCACTCGATGTGGAGGAAGATAAGCAGCAGGATTTACGTGTCAAAACCTGGATTGGCAAAGGGGCTCCTTCTCCCTGCTTTGATATAGTTGCCAGCCCACCTGCTCCGGCTTCCTTCTGGAAGTAGGCAAAGAAAGTGCTGGCAGCACCTGAGAGGTGAGTTACGTTTCCCAAAGCTGGCAACTGTTCTTGTTGCCCGTTTCTTCACCTTCTCCATGACTTTCCAGAATACTAGGAAATTATTGTGGTAATTCTTATTCCTTTCTGGGACTGTGGCGCTCAGACCAAGGTAGCCTCACAGTGGATCTTCAGACTTGTAAAGGTCTCTTGTTGCAAGACTGTTGTCTGTGCTGAACAGGTTTAAAATGAAAGTTTGGTTGAAGTGATTATTGCTCTTGATAATAGCATTAAGCCAATGGCACGTGCATAGCCCATAGTGGTAAAACGGAGAAGCAGAGCCTCAGGTTTCCCAGGAAGGGTTTACTGTGGATGAGCGCAGAAGGGCCAAGGCTCTGTATGGTGTTCTCAATACGTTCAACAAAACGTGTATCTGAACGCTAATGCCTCCTTAAGGCACCAACCCCTAAAGGTCGTAGACCATTGCCTTGAAACCTCATTTTGTTTCTTTTAGTCTTACCCAGCTCAATCCTCTATAGGACGTGATATTTCATATCCATTAGAGTAGGCGGCTCCCTTGGCTACTGTGCAATCATTTAAGTTTTATTTGAGATAGGGAGCCTTCTCTAGCCAAGGCATGATGCTCAGCTTCCAATCAAAATGATTACAGCGTGCAGTTGTCGCAACTTCTTTGGAGCTGGCTTGCGTGGAGTCGTGCGCAGGTACAAAGATTGCCTCACACGAGTCCTGCTGGGGAACTTTGTGTACGTCTAGAAAGTATTACGCGTTTCTGTAACACTCTCTTAACTCTCATTTTCATGGAGGAATGAACTTGGGAAAGAACAGAAACGGATCCCCTTTCGTTCCTGGGCTTGCAGTTGGCTAAGAGCTTTCAGTTTCCCGGTCATCCCCTGTCACCCTAGCCGCTGCTAGGGGAATGAGGGCAGAGACGGGTGCTTGTGCCGCTATCGGCTCCTCTTGCAGAGAGCCCAGCTAGAGGGGGGCAACAGTTGTGGTGGTGGTGGTAATCATCATCTCCTCGCGTACATCATCTGCTCGAGCCCCGACCACCTTGCTGACCCGCCACTGGGCTCCTTCCAGTTTGTCACCGTCTGTCCTGTACTGGGGAGGCCAAAACTGGCCATGGTATTCCAGGCGCAGTCTCAGGTGCTGAACTAGAGGGGGCTAATCCCTTCCTTCAACCTGGGGGCTGTGCTCTTGCTGACGCGACCCAGTGCGCGGTTGCGTGGTTGGCTTTCATCCGTGCAAGGCACTTTGCTGACCAGCGTTCACCTTTTTGTCCCCCGGGTCCTCTTTTGCCAAGCTGCTTTCCAGCTACTGGCCCCGCAGCCTGTTCTGTTGCATGGGATTGTTCCTTCCCATAGGCAGGACTTGTCTTTGAAGTTCACGAGGCTTCTGTTAGCTTGGTCTTCCGGCTTGTTGAGATCCCTCTGAATGGCAGCCCTTCCTTCCAGCACATCAGCTGGTCCGGTCCCTCATCTGCCCTGGCACATTGCAGCAGCAGCAGAACCACAACCATAAGGTGGTGCCAAAGGCTGGCTCTGCCTCAGCAGGGAGGCTCTTCTGTAAAAACAGACGACCTCAGGAGCTGACAGTCTGGCTATCTCAATGAGCGCCAAACACAGCCACAAAAAGAGCGAGGACTGGGCTGGAATTATACTTGCATTTGTGCTCTGAGGGGCTGAAGCCCAAAGGACCTCCAGCACCTAGGCAGAAACGTTAATGAACAAAGATTACTTGACAGTCATGAGCAAGATGAGATGTGGTGTATGTATATAGGTAGGTCTGTGTGGGAAGGAGAAGCCTTTTGAAATGCAAAGTGCTGTGTTTGGGATGCGAGGGAACAAGGAGCAATTCGTGAGTATAATGCGTGCTGTGTGACAGTTCTGCTTTCCTAACAGTAATGTGGTCTCTCTGCCCTCTTTTCAGTTGACATGGATGATGAAGATGGCCGGTGCTTGCTAGATGTAATTTGGTAAGTAGTACCACATCACGAACAAGAAGCCACGGTAATTTATCCCCTCTTATGCTATTTTGGGGAAGGCGTGGAGGTAGGAAGAGAATTTCTGCTGCAGTCTATTTGTAGGGCAATCTCAACCAGTCACCTTGATTTCTTCAGCACGGGGCTGAAGTTTGGTTTCCCCAAACTTCTCGGCAAGAACCTGAAAATGCCGTACAGTCCCTCTGAAAAGTCTCTTCCGCCATTGCTGGATTTGTACAGGCAACTTCTTGCTTTTCTGCTTCCTGAGCTGCCTTTCCCTTTGGGCATGAACGTCTTGCCCCTTTGTGGGTGCCCGCGGTACTGGGTGGCTTTTCCTCCCAAGGGGGGGTCTGCAAGCCTCTTTTGGCTTCGCTTACTCCCTCGCCTTTCCCCGCACCGGGCCAGCTCCGCTTTGGTACGAACCAAAAGGGTCAGCACCCAACACGGTTTGCCTGGGTTTTGTACTGAGCCACAGATAGCTTGAGGCTGGCTTGAAAGAGCCTGTAAACTTCTGAAACTTATAAACCTGCTGCTGTTCTCCTCGTGTGAAACTTGGAGAGCTCTGGGGGCTTGGGGCGTACTTTGGTGGAGTAGCTGTTACTGAGAACGTTTCGCCCAACGGCTTTTTATGTGAGAAAATAATAGGTTCTCTCTGTGCATCCCCTGTTTTGTTTCTTCCACCTAATGTGGAATAATGTGGTGGTGTTTTGCCAACAACTATGATTTTTAAGTAGTGCCTGCGCTTGGAAAAATCCAGGCTTTAGTCTAGTCTCAAAACATTGCAGCAAATTGCTTCCTGGGGGGAGAGGACGGCCGAGGCTGCCGTCCCCGCTAGCCGGGGATGCTTGTCGGCTGGTGGCCCGAGGTGAACGCAGAACAGTTCGTGTTTTGACAGACTGCTTGTTAACAACAAACGCAGGCTAATTTTCCAAAGGGGATTATTGTGCTTATGAAACTGTTGCCAATGGCTTGGTAATTAGGGCTTTGCAGAAATAGCAGGGGAAGGGGAACCGCAAAGTGTTACTGACCCAGGAGAAGAATAAGAGAACTTGCCATCTTTAAATACCTTGATGCTATTTCCATAATAAAGTATACCCATGATAGCATAAATCAGTATACGTCATTAATTCCTACAATTCAAATCTTCCATCCAGTTTTCAATGCTTCTTTTTAAATGCATGTATGGTAGCAGACCTGACTGGTTTTATTCAAAAACAAGTCCACACTGCTTTCATCCGCGGTGGCGATCATGCAGCCTGATGGCTCCTAGTCTGCGCTAGCTAGCGCGCTTCACGAGCAGAAGCATGCCACATCTCGCTCCAGAGCTTTGTGGGATTTACGTGACTTCGAACACCCCAACGTCTTTAAAGGAGGACTGACTGGTTGCAATAGAAGTGCTTTTAACTGGTTGTGCTTCCCGCTGTTGTGTACCGAGGAGCGGCTGCGATACCGCAGTGAACAGCAGATGCTGCCAACAGTCAGAATGCAAAAAGTTATGTTAATGCATTAATTAGAAACATGTATTTCACTCCAGATTCAAAGTGGGTCATGTGTTCTTTCCTTAAATAGTTTCATATGTTGTTTTGCAGTGATCCTCAGGCCTTGAATGATTTCTTACATGGATCTGAAAAGGTGAGCGATGACTTGGTTTTTTTTATTAACTAAACACTTTATTTAAAAAAAAAAGTTTAAACGCTAATGAACTTTTAAAGAAAGAAAAACCTAACTTCAGAATCACTTTTAGTTCTTAGGACTCTTTAATGAGAGCAACGAACAGGATTGTGCAGGGGATGATAGGCATTTTTTCGTCTCCCAGATCCTGTACTAGAAGCTGCTCCGTGCAGAACTGCACGAAATCAGTAGGGCTTTGCTGTGGCATAGGGAATTGCTTATAGAGAACTGTTTGCGAGGTGGAATTCCAAATTAGTGACTGACAGTGATAGCAATTACAAATCTTTATCAGCCAGCGCTTGTTTGGTGACCTAAGCAAAATGAGTTGGGCACCTCTCTGATAGGCAGCTACCTACTTAAAATATACCACTGTCGTCGTTTGCATCTGCGTAAGGAAGTCGACTGCTAAATGGCCATGTAGAATAAGCCATCTTTTCTAACCCAGATTTTGGGACGCTTTTAGATGAAATTTGATGCCTGCTGGCAGGAGACAGTGAATGGGAGGGAAGCTTGCCCGACCGCTGTCCATGCTCCATGTGCTCTGTGGATTAAAGATCACCCGTTTCCAGTGGCTGCCAGTCAGCACTGAATTGATTTTTTTTTTTAATACTTTATTTGAAGAAAGTAAATAAAATCTTTTTAATTACAGATTGACAGTGATGATCTCCTGGACAACACAGGAGATGCAGCCAGTGCCTTTTTTGAAGGTGCTGGGGTATGTATTTTTTTTTAATTTGTACTTGGGGAATGTTAGTTTAGAAACCTTTCCCTTTTTGTTTTTTGTCCTTTTTTTTTTCTTTTTTGTTTCGCAGGCTTGTTTTTAATCTGTTTTCCAGGTCTAGTAAAATAGACAGGATGCAGGGATTATTCCCCAAGATTTATAGAGAAATAGCTCCAACATGTACCCCACGTATCAGGGGAGAAAAGTTGATTTCATGTGCACATATCTGTTTTCCACTTTCAACTTGGGAAAAGTGTTGAGGATAGAAAATAAGGTGAAGAAGAGGAGAAAGGTATAATAGTACTCTCACACTTCAAAGGCTGCAGAGATGATTTGGAAGAATGTTAGTATTGAAAACAGTTTGAGAAAACATGTCTTGTCACCTTCCCCTTAGTTCGTCCTTAGAATTGAAAAAGGAGCGCTCCAATTTCCTTGCAGGCCACTAGTGTAGTGAAGTTGAAATAAGTGGAAATAGATTCTAAAAATCCTTTTTTTTTTCCCCCCCCTCCCAAGGACATGGATTACTCTGTTGCTTTTTCTGTGTTTGCAGTTACATTGTAATAAGAGTCTTTATTTTTTTTCTCCATTCCTGTTCACATTGCACTTCATTTCTACAAAGAATTTTAATGAAACTCCTGATGCTTTACAGGAAAAGCTGAGAAACTTTTAGAAAAGTTGAGATTTAGTTCTACTTGGAAAAATTGGAACGAGCAATTTAAAATCAATGTTTTACCATACTTTACCTTATAGAACCAGTGATATCTGATGTTAGACTGCATGTGGCTTTTCTATTATTTTTGTGGTTCTTAGCAGACAGCAAACGCTGCACTGGTAGATGCTTCCCGATTGCTCAAGGACAGTCTTTGCTACGCGTTCGCTGTAAAAGGACAGCCAATGTGTTGCATGTAGTTGGAGCATATGCCTGGGTCGGGTTAACTGCTGCTTGAACATCTGTTGCAAGAAAGGGTGTGAGGTTTTGTTGGGTTTTTAAGTTTGTTTTAGAATATGGAACTTCCACTTCTGGTTCAGGCAGCAACTTAATTTTATTCTTCGATTAACTCGATAAGAAAGCCAAGAAATATTTTGTGAACTGTATTGCGCCTCTATATCCAATGGCATTCTGTGGCTTAAAGCAAACGAGCTACGAGTCGACTCTTTTGGATGCTGTTAACCAGCTCTCCCATTGGCTTACTTTGTAACTTAAAGCAAGTCACTTAACGTCTGTCTCACGTTCTCTGAAACAATGCCATGCGTTTATTTGGGATCTTAGAGAGATGCCAAAATGCTTTGCACGTTTACTAAATTAAAGGTAGAGGCTGTATAATTGAATCGTTTACCTCGTTAGCTCTGAGGTGGCTCACAAAATCTGTTTAGCAGTAACAATCCCAGGAAGGACACAGAGCAGTTCAGAAAGATTTGAAGTCTTCTTTCATGTATTTGAATTCAATGCTTCGTTGTTGTTCTTCTTCCCTCTGACCTTAAATATTTTAGCTGCACGTGCAAGAATCCTCTGGCAATCATCTGAACACTGAACAGAATCAGCCCACAACAAGCGTGGACCTCGACTTTTTAGAAGATGACATTTTGGGGTCACCGTCCAGCAGCGGGGCAAACCTTCAGAACTCCGACCAGCCCTGCGACATTCTCCAGCAGAGCCTGCAAGAGGCGAACATCACAGAACAGACTCTGGAGGCTGAGGCAGAGCTGGACCTGGGATCCTTCCAGCTTCCCACGCTTCAACCGGTGGTGCAGACTGCCTCTGATGGCACCCCACAGATTTTCTCCAGTGGGGCTGACTTAATTGGGCTGCAGCAGCCTGCAGTCCTGACGCATCAGGCACTGGTGCAGCAGTCAGTAGGAGCAGATGTTGTTAATAAGGCCATCAGTGTTCAGCCTTTTCTCCAGCAGGTCGGCTTAGGGAATGTTACCATCCAGCCAATTTCCAACCTGCAGGGCTTGCCCAATGGAAGCCCGAGTGGGACACTGGGAATTGGGCCAATTCAGGTGGTTGGGCAGCAAGTGATGGCCATTAACCAGTCGGCACAGCAGATCATTGCAAAACAAGTTCAGCCCTCCCAGGTGGCCACCATGCCTGTTGGCAGTTATATCACCCAGACAGCACCTGAGCAGCAGCAGGTCACCCTTGCCTCAACAGGGGTTTCTCCACAGAACGCTGGTCTTGTCATCCAAAAAAATCTGCCAGCGGTGGCCACTACAACGCTGAACGGAAACTCGATGTTTGGGAGCGTGTCTGGTACTCAAGGTTCCCAGCCGCTCACGGTCACTTCGAACTTAAGCAGCCCCCTAGTGCAGGCCCAAAATGTGATCATTCATAGGACACCCACCCCAATTCAACCCAAGCCTGCAGGGGTCCTCCAGCAAAAACTGTACCAGATCACCCCCAAGCCCTTTGGTTCCAACAACACCACCTTGACCATTCAGAACGAAGCTGCCCTGCAACAGCAAAAGGCCCAGCAGAACCTGACTTTCATGGCGGGTAAACCAGGACAGAATGTCGTGCTGTCGGGCTTCCCCCAAGGGCTTCCCGCCAACATGTTCAAGCAGCCTCCGCCGCAGCAGCAAGCCCTCAACAAGCCCATGAGCGTGCACTTGCTAAACCAAGGCAGCAGTATTGTCATTCCAGCACAACATGTTCCTCAGGCCATGTTACAGGGTCAAAACCAGTTCCTCCTTCCCGGGCAGTTAGCAGGTGCCTCTGCTGTTCAGATACCCCAGCAGCTCTCGGCCCTGCAGGCTAACATGGGAGGGCAGATCTTGACCACCTCGCACCCCAGTGGACAAGCCCATATCATAACTAGCCAAGGGCCAGGTGGACAGCTGATAACCAACCAAGCCTTGCCGGCCCAAATCCTCACCAACCAGAACATAGCTAGCCAGCTGAACCTGGGGCAGGTGCTCACCTCGCAGAACGCCCACGGCACTGCTCACATCCTCTCTGCCCCCATCCAGCTCCAGCCCGGGCAGGTGGGTCAGCCAGCCCTGTTCCAGATGCCTGTTTCTCTAGCTGGCAGTTTGACCACCCAGAGCCAGCCCTCAGTCGCTGCCTCGCTGGCCAGCGGTGCCATCAACCAGACGGGGCAGACCGTTATCCAGGGCGTTACGCTGCCAAACCAAGTAGCTATGCTGAACACCACGGAGAACCTCAACCAGGCTGTCAGCATTCAGGCGTCTGCCACCAC